CTTCTCACATCAACCTCATTAGAGAAGGATTTCTAGATGAGGAAGCCAAGGCTTGGGGAAACTAAACGGGCACACAGCTAGTGGGTATGAGGCCGGCTGACTCCAAAGACCTGGCGCGCGCTTGTGAGGAGTCCAGCTCCCCACGCAAACCTCTGTGCAATCCTTCAGGCCCGGTCGTAGGCTGTTACAGGGGTTTTGCATGGCAGGCCTCCCAGGGGGACACTGCCCTCTGCCCACCAGACTTGGGGCACAGCCAGGGCACTGCAGTCTCCGAGGGGAGTTGCAGTCAAGGAGGCAGGCCCCCTGGCTGGCCGAGCTCTTATGCATTCCCAGCCCAGGTGCCTCCATGTGAGGCCTCTATCTTGGGGGTTGTCAACCGAAGCCTTCCCCAGGTACTGTTGCCAAGATCTCCTTATTGGGAGCTGTGAGGAGACTTTGCTCTGACTCAGTACTTTTCCACTGCTAGCCCTTCCCCCTCTTTTCACCCCCAACACACACGCGGGTCCAGAAAACAGAAGGAGCGTTGTGTTGGGGGTTCCGTCAGCAGTGAGATGACTCCCCATCTGCACACATCTGACCCCTGCCTGGCGCTGTCCCATGGGGAGGTGGAACCCTGGGGGAGCTGGAACTTTCTCCTGCTTATTTCATCCCCAAGCGATTACTGGCTTGACTGCTACTCTCATTTTGGCTTGCTGTTTTAATGGGCTGCTGCGACACATGGCAGGCCAGCTTCTGACAACTTGCTCAACCGGCTTCTTTCAGAACACTTGTAGTGAGGGCCTCCGGGTATCTGGCTCTTCCCTGGACTGGCCTTGGTGCCCGTGCCCCAGGCTTTCTGGAATCCCAGCTCGTCTCTGTTCCCTGTGCCCTGCACCCTCTAGTTCCTGGGTCACATCTTTCATAATCTGACTCACACCATTTGTGACAAAGCTCTCATTGTGACCTCCAGAAAAGATTCCCTATTTCCGCTTTGGAGTATTAGACCCTGTAATAGTCATGGGAGTGGCCAGCATATATTGAACACTAGCTAAGGTCTAGGCATGGGCTAAGTGTTTTACCAACATGCTCTCATGAAATGCGTGCGTACATACAATACTTCGAACAGCATCTGGACATAGTAAGGGCTCATAAATGGCACCTAGTTCCACCCAAGAGCACTATTGTACCCTGTGAAGGAGGTACTATTATTCAACATCCCCATTTTGGAATTGACAAAACTGGGGCCCTGAAATGCTGAGACAGTGAAAACTAAGTAGTGGAGCAGATCTTTCCATGAGACAGCGCTCCCTCCTTGGCCTGTTGTGCAAATTCTATTGAATAAGAAACCGATGGGTCAAGTACAGGTCACGAAGGACATCTTTTTGAAAGATTTTCATCAGAATACGTAGTTTAAAATGGAGAGGGTTCCACCCTGGCTGGTGTGGCTCAGTGTATTGCGTGCAGGTCTGTGAACCAAAAGGTCACCTGTTTGCTTTCCAGTCAGGGCACATGCCTAGTGTGCGAACCGGTCCCCAGTGGGGGACATGCGAGAGGCAGCTGATCGATGTATCTCTCCCTTTCTTGCTCCCTTCCACTTTCTCCAAAAATAAATAAAATCTTTTTAAAAATGGAGAAGATTTCAATGCTTGAAGTAGCAAGCTTCAGTGTCTTAGAGGTATTTTTCTTTATGTTATTAGAAAACAAAATTCAAGTGAATAAATTTGAAGATATAATTAGTTTCATTAAGTGATTCATGAGTAGGGTAGCATCTCATCTAGCAACTAGAAGCAGGCTCCAAGGGGCTATACAAAATGGAAGGTTTTTATAGGAAGAAGCCGGGGGGGGGGGGCGTCAAGGGAGTTATTAACAAAAAAAGGAAAGGATTATTTTTAGATCAGAAATCTCTGGGTGGAGGGGAGGGGCAGATATCAGGCAGACTGTCTCTTCTTTCTACTGGGGGTATGGGGAACAGAGTGGGCTCAGGTGACAGATTATCTTACTTGTGCTTGACCAGAAAATTCTAGACTGATTGATTAAGATTACATTTCTGGGAGAAATTGAAACTGCAACTAGATCGGATATTAAATCTACGTTTGGTATCGTGGGCTTTTAGCACAAGTGATGCCATTTTGGGCCTGCAAGTATTCCTTTTAACCATGTAAAACACCACATTTCAGAAAGGACTCCAGAAAATCATCCCAATATAAGTTCTCCACCAGCACCACCAACATGTGGTTTAATTCTGTTAATTCACCCTTTTCCTTCTTAATATAAATAAGTCCAAAGCCTCAGTGAGGAGAGGCCAGTGTTCCTTTTCTCAAGTGCCAAGAACACTAACAAAAAACTGTCTCCTAGACCTCCTCCTTTGACCTAGAAACTCTTCAAGGTCAAGCTCAAATTAGTTCTAGCTGATTTCACTTCTACAGGCTGCCAGGTTAAAGTAGTCAAGAGAATGGGCCATTCCAGGAAATAAGGTAGCTGCGTGACCTTAAGCAAATTGTTTAACCTCTCTGATCCTTAGTATTCTCATCTGCAAACTGAGAACAAGACTAGTACCTAATCCATGGGGCCGTTGCAAGGAATCAATGAGGTAATACTTGTAAGGCCTGCACAGAACAGGGCTGGACAGGGTTTTTATGATTCCTAATTACCAGAGAGAGTGGTAGCTATGTCCAGGAAGGCTGGGATCCCTTCAGAATGAGGACCAATTTTCAATGAGAATCTGTGCTCAGAGAGCCTCCCCAGAACCAGCCCTCCCTGGGGCATGGTCTCCATGCCAGCTCAGTTTAACTCTTCCAGTCTCTGAGTCAAAGATCTTAACCTTCAGAGAATATCAAAATCACGCAGAGAGCTTGTTTACCATGCATATGCTTAGAGCTCTCTCTGTAGGAGTCTTCCCCAGGTTTGGGGTGAAGCCAAGGGTTGGGTATGTTAGACCAACAAGCCCAGTAGTTCTGAGTCTGAAACCCTGCCCTATACCAGGAATAGGTAGACTTTTTCTATAAAGAGCCAGAGAGTAAATACTTTGGCTTTATGGGCCAAAGGTCTCTGTCACAACTGCTTGACTATGCTACTGTAGCACAAAAACAGCCAAAGACTTTAATTAAATGAAGGGATGTGACTGTGTTCCAATAAAACTTTATTACAAAGACAGGCAGGGGCCAGATTTGACCTGCGGGCCACAGTGACCCAGCCCCTGCTTCCCACCATGTCTCTTCTATGTATAACCAATAATAAAGACATAGACATGGGTATTAAAAAAAAGTGATATTTCTTTAATTTAAAATTATGCCCTGGAAAGAACCAGTCAGTTTAAGTGATCCAGGCTTCCTTCTTCTGTATATCCAATTGGAACAGACACAGTATCGGCTCAGATTGCCAAGCCCAGGGAAAAACCCAACCAAGTCGAAAGTCCTCAGGAAGTGCCTGCAGCTACCCTGCCAGAGCCAGCAGGCTCCTCGGAGGGAGGCGTGCCCCGGCTGCCAGGTGCTGCTGCTTTGCAGCCACGTTGAGAAGAGCTTTTCTTCTGCCGCCCACCCCTCACGGGCCCACTTTCTCTCCATTGCTCTGTAGCTGGCCCTGCCCATGTCCTCCCCACACAGATCAGTGGCAGGGGAGTCATCTCCCGACGGTCTTTAGGGGCACCTTTGTGTGACTGCAACAATGAAGCTAAGCAACTCTCAACGCACATGCCCAGAAGGGCAGCACCTTCGTTGTTTAGCTGAGATCCGGAGCCTTGAGTTGTAACCATCAGTCATGTCTGATCAAGGCTCCAGCAGCCAGGTGGCGGGCTTGGGAAATGACCTGAAAGATGTGAGAGTCTCGGTGATGATTCAACCGATTTCACTCTGAAAGCGGAACAGACAAATGCCATCTGGGTAAACTCCCTACAAACAGGACAGTGTCAGGAGGAACAGGGACCACCACCTCCTTCAGAACTCCAAGGTTTGTGTGCTCTCCCGTAGCACAGAAATCAAAGGTCCCACTTCTTAAGTCGGCGACGCCCCCACCTCAAACATTCAGGGCCAGTGAGGCCTGCAGATTCGCCCAACCAGCCAGTGGGATTCTCTAAAAAACCCAAGGCTCTGAGTAATGTGTGCGGGGCGTCCAGGGTGTGATGCAGAACGGGCTTTTTTTTTTTTTTTTCCTGCAGTTTTGGAAATCTGCAGTCAGTAGAGAAGAAAGGAGGCAGGGCATGGCCAGAGGGGCCCTTGGAGATCCTGGAGGCCTTCCCGGGAGGGGTTTGTATACAGAATAAATCCAGCTGGCTTGAAGCAAGCCTTCTGGAAGGAGCCAACAGGCCACCACAGTCCCACTGCAGTGGGGCACCAAGTGTCCACACTGGTTGGCTTTCTTGAAAATGTGCAGCACCCAAAGCCTGACGCTTGACCTGAGTCACAAGCTGTTGGGACAAACCACTGGAGGGCTGCCCGGGGGATCCCGTGGAAGACCAGACGACGGCCAAGCCATGCCCACCACACCCAGCGTTCCTGAGCCCGGCCGGCCACATCCCCGGTAGATCACAGAGGCAGCCCAGGGCACTCCCAAGGGCCCCTGCTGTGTGCGGGGTGTGGGGCAAGGGCACGGCATTGACCAGAGTCCCCTGAGAATGGAGGTGCAGTGAGGGGGAAAGGCTGGGGCTTCTCCTCAGGCCCCATCGCTCTGCCTCCTGAGGGAGGAAGAAGATATTACCGCGCTCCTCTCAGCACCGCTGACATTATCTGACCGAAAAGATGGCACATGGTGGGGGGCACTCAGCACAGACACCCCTCCTCTTGCTGTGTGGCTGTGTGACAATTCCCCAGTGAGAGCCTCCCTTACAAGTGTCCTACACTGAGGCTGGGTCATGTCACAAGCCCTGGCTCATGACAACACATGTTCCATCACCAGCGCCTGACTAGTCTTTGGGTTCTTAACAAGGCAGCTCGAACGGTGGGAGTAAGAGGATTTGGGTCTCCAGGTCCCAACAAGTTCCTCTTCCCAGTCCCCTTCTTTTCTCGAAAATAGTGGACCTCCCCAGTGTCTATTAAAGAGGGACCTGTCCAGGCGGCCGGCCCTAGCCAACAGCCAGCCACAGAACACTCCTACAAGACCACGGCAGTGTCATCCAATCGCAGCAGAAGGCCGGCTCGGTGCCAGCCCTCACTGGATAATACTGTCTGGCTGCCCATTCTGGGCCATCTGCCCAGGGTCAGAGGCGGGGGCAGGGTTGGGTGTGTTGCTCTGCAGGTAGCGGCGGAAATCTTTGATCATGGGCCGGAGGACCTGGATGAGGACGCTCAGGGCCGCCTGCGTGCCCTCCATGGCCTGGGCCTGGCGCTCCTGGGCACAGGCCTGTACCTCCTGCGAGCGGCGGATCATCTGCAGCAGGTCATTCTGCTGCTCCAGGTGCTGCGCGATCTCCTTCACGTGCAGATTGGTGACCCGCTGCTCCTGGATGAGTTTGGCCGAGTTGAGGGCTATGCGGCTCTTGAGCGCCTGAGGCTTGACGGAGGGGTCAGCGTGCTGGGTGATCATCTCCACAGGTGCCTCCGCCGGCAGGGGTGGGGGGGCCTCCGCTGTGCAGTACTCCACCACGCCCTCTTCCAGCGTGTGATAGGTGGTCTCTGTGGGGACTGTGGGAAGAGCAAAGGCAGTGTCAGGTCACCTTCTGGAAAGAGTGGAGCTGGGCACGTGGTGTGGGGAGGAAGCCCTTAAGACCGGTGCTGGGGAATTCAGGCCTCCTATGGCTTTCTAGCTATTCATGTACCTCACTAAATCTAGACTCTGAGGGGTTTTAGAATCTTAATCTCCTTGGTAACCAAAGGGTCAGTCGCAGGTCTGGCAAAAGCAAAGATGCTAATAATACTAGCAAAAAATTTTGAGCACCTTCTATGTGCCAGGCACTGTGCTAAGCCCTTTGCACGCATTAGCTTGACAGATCCTCATGATGCCTAGAGGTAGGTCCTGTCATATTCATTTTCAGAAATGAGGAAACAGACTGAGAAACACGAAGTGACTTGTCTAAGGTCAGCTTTTTCAGCAGGTGCAGGAAACAAACCAGGTCTCCCCAAGCCATTGTCCGTAGTGCTCAATACCACTCCACGGGGCTGCTTCTGGCTCATAAAGGCAGGGCCACATGCTGCCGGTGGTGCCAGGACACAGCAGACATCTACATGAGCTGTTTGTGGCTACGCTAGTCCTACCTCCTTCAGTGCCTTCTTGACTTGTAGCCTCGTTTGGCCAAGCAGAAAAGGAGGTGGGAGGGGGGTGGCAAAGTGCCCAACAAATGCCTCCCTGTCTCCTTGATCACCCTGGTCAATGCAATACCCAAAGGTCCTTTCCGTTCCAGCACAGCAATTGGTTTAGGCCAGTGCTGGATCCCCTGACCCACCCCAATACCCTGGAGAAATATGGCACTGTGGGGGATGGCACTCACACCCAGTTCATCAAAGCCCCACTGAGAATCAGTGATCGGTACACTTTATAACCCAGTACAAAGAAGCAGTTAAACAGGTACCGGTGCAAACCCTTATCTGAATGAAAAAAAAGTTCAACCCAAGCCAGCTCCATTGCTATTCACGGTTGAGAACCTTTGAAGGAACTCTTGGTGGGCTGCTTGGGCCTCCCTGCCTAGGGGAAAGGTCAGTCTTCTCCACCCTTCAATGCCACCATCAACTGTGTGTCCCCACCCCAACCAAAAGGCCCCTTTCTCTTCTGAGAACCTTCTTAGGTTCTCCTAACTGACAGTGCAGTTACTCGTACACGTCTTATCTGTCCTACTAGACTATCACCGGTCTCTGCCTTACACACTTTGATAATCCCAGTGCCAAGCACAGGGTTGGACACAGAATAAGTGCTGTTTGATGAGCGTGTGAATGACTAGATTAACACCAGGAACCATGAGGTTCCTCAACTGTGCCTGATGAATGTTCACCACACTGAAAACTCAGAATGTCCCCGTCCAGAATGCATGTCTAACTTGGGCATTATCATTCCCATCTATCCACTCATTCAACAGCTATATCCTGACTGCTTACTATGGGCCAGGCCCTGTGATTAAGTCCTCGGGGGATATAAACATGGTCTGTGTCTTCAAGGACCACACACTTCAGTCATGGACATGAATGGTGGCAAAACACAGTTGAGAGCAATTCAGCTCATCAGAAGTCCAGACTGTGTGCTGAGGGAGTCCCAGAGAGAACAAGATCACTTCTGTCCGAGGAGCTCTTGGAAGGTCTCCTGTCTTCCAAGACTCCTATCTGACCTTTGACCCTTTACAGTCAACCTTCCCCAGGCTGCCCCATCTCTTGCTGGCCCTTCCCATTTATGCACGCTGGACTGGGCAGGAGAGGTCACTCACTCTGTGTCAGGGTGACCGTGGCTGTGGCTGCAGTAGCCGGGGGTCCGAGGGCCACGGGGTGGATCTCTGTGGTACTGGGTAGGCTGATGATGGTGGCCTCGCCCAGCAGATTGCAGATGCGCTGTTGCATGGGAGTGAGCAGTACGGGGGCTACAGCTGGGCCACCGCCACTACTGCTACCACCTGTCCCTGGCCCACCAGCTCCATCTTCCTCAGTGGGCCCTGGGGCCTCACCACCCTCCACGGCTGCCCGGACCTGGGCAACCTTGCGACGGACCTCGGTCTTGAGATCAGACCACTTCTTCTTGACCTCTGGCAGCTCTCTGCGGCAGGTGGCCACAGCGTTAACCCTTCTCAGGATGCTGTGCCAGGCCGCGCTCTTGGCAGCCAAGGGGACCCCGGCGTTGAAGTGGTTCACCAGCAGGTGCTTCTTCAGTTCCAGCTCCTCCACGATGATCTCCACCTCTCGCTCAGAGAAGTTCATCTTCCTCTTTTTGGCTGGGACGGCCATGGCCTCTCCCTACCCCTTCTTTTTAAAGAAATTATAATCCCTTCAAACGCCCAATTCCCTTTCTCTTCTTCCTCAGCCTCGCCGGTCACCCACCCCCATACATGGGATAGCCTGGGCTTGCCCAAGGCCAAGCCCTAGGCCTTTGGTAACCCCCCTCGTTACGCAAAGTGCGTAGGGCCCAGCGCCGACCGGCCCAGCCGCTGCCAGCCAGCTGCGTAATGGCTTCCTGAATCTGCCTCTTCCGCCGGGGTGTGCGGAGATCCGCCCACTTCCCCTCTTCCCGCCTCCCAGCGCTTCTCCAGGGGAACCCGCCCTCCCGGTTGGTCGTGGCTCAATATCAGGCCGCTCACTGGTTCTTTTGATCTGTCGTTCAGCTCCAGAGCACGCCCACTTACTGGAATTGGCCTGATTGTTGGTCTAAAGGTGTGTCTGTCGCTGCAGAGCGCTCCACCCACTGTCTTTATTAACTTCCAGTGAAAAATCGTTGTTCAATTATCAATATTACGACTATTACGCTATTAAGTTCAGCTATTTTATTGGTGGTTTAGGGAGTTAGGTTTTCAAAACACTGCCTCCTGATCATCCCCAGTGTTTTTGGCTGGAGCCGTTGGCCAATTAATATTTAATTCCACCCAAGGGAGCAAACTGGTGTGAGCTACAGCTCACAATTACTCCTCACACAACTCCCAGTTTCCTACCGAAGACTACGATCTCTTCGTACAGGACCTTTCCTCCCATCCTTACGATTCAGAAGTCTAAACAGAGTTACTCAATGGGAACTGGACACGGGTCCTTCCTTCTGTCAATCATATGACTTCTGCCTATAGCGGTGTGATTTCCTCTCTTGGGCCCGGCTCAGCCAATCCCCGCCTCCCTCAGTTTGAATCGGCCCAGGCTAAGACGGAATCGCCCCGCTCTCTCCATTGATCGGGGTTGTCCAGAACGATATGGGCAGTCCTTGGGGAGATTCCGGCCCCTCCAGGTGGTAGTTCGGGACTGTGACTGGCCAGTGGCGAGCCTAGGGGCGTGGCCAGAGAGGCGGGGCAGTGGGGCGGGGCTCCCGGAAGCGGCCCCTCCCGCCAGTTTGCCGGCACCTCGGAACCCGCGCTAGCCGTCTGCGAACACCCGCGTGTCTTCCGCGCTCTCCTCGCCGCCCGGCGCCCCTGTCTCGCGCCCGATGGTGAGCAGTGTGTTGTGCCGCTGCGTGGCTTCCTCGCCGCCGGACGCTGCCGCCGCCGCCTCGTCCGCCTCGTCCCCGGCGTCTGTAGACCCGTGCGGCGGCGCCGTCTGCGGGGGCCCGGACCACCGGCTGCGCCTGTGGAGCCTCTTCCAGACGCTCGATGTTAACCGCGACGGCGGCCTGTGTGTCAACGACCTGGCCGTGGGACTCCGACGCCTGGGACTGCACCGCACCGAGGGCGAGCTCCGGGTAGGCGGCGCGCACCGTCCGCGCGGGTGGGGAGGGAGGCTCCCTTCGTCTCCTAGATTACAGGGAGGTTCGGGTGACAGGTATGGACGGCCTGGATTCTTGGGCTGCCCGTTGGAGCGTGGCAGGTCTGCTGGGCGGCCTCTTGGGCTGGGTGGGACCCCCCAGTGAGAGATGAGTACCCTATTTATTCGCTGGTGGGAGTGGAACTCCTTCTTGACCTCTATGGGCGTTTGGGTCACGGGGAACGGCTCTTCGTGGGCACAGGTGGGCACCTTCTGGGCCCTCTGATGAACGAAAAGCCCCTTCCTGCTCCGGCTTTTCCCAAAGCTAGAAAGGTCAGGTATCAGAAGTCGGCCTTTCCTCACCTCCCGACCTGAGGGGCCTGATGCCTCCCCCTACCCACCATTGACGGGTTCATCCATCCTCTTCCAGCGGCGCCCCCCTCCCTCCCCCTCTGGTTTCCATGCCAGCCTGTGGGCCCTGATCTGGTTCCTCTCAGAAGCATGTGGGAGTTGGCGGGGGGGGGGGGGGGGGGAAGGGAACTGGGGTTTTAGGCAGATCTGCGATGGGTGTGGGTGGTGAGGACTGACAGCTCTCCTGGTTTAGGTTCCTCCCTGTTGACGTGCTTATTCGGAAAATGGGATTATGATCCCTTGCGGGGTTGCTGGTTAGGATGAACCTAGGGGAAAATACTTCCTAAAAGTGAAAGTGTTACACATCTAGGAGGGGATATCTCACTTTTGCTCAGGAGTGGGCCCCTGGCCAAAGGGAAGGTGGGAACGGACAGTGGCCGTCTCCCGGCCTGCCAGAAAGAGAAGTGCTGTCCTTTCTCTGTAAGAATCTCAGGTAGAGGCTGTTTCCCCCCCCCCCATCTCCTGGTATGCTTTCCCCTCTGGCTTTGTAGCTGTAGCTTCCCTTTCCGGAGTATTTCATTTACTTGTGGCTTAGCCTGATTTACAACCCGGAGGAGGACTGCTGAGTATAAACTTTACCTTTGTACATAAAACCATTAGAGAATCTTGCAGCCAAGTGTGGAAAAAAATCGGGTAAAATGCCAGAGAGTTACCGTATACCTATTTTTTGGTTTGATGGGTACACACAAGAAGGTGTTTTTAACTCATGTCCAAGGTGTCTTGGATTAACATCCAACGTATTTAGTTAACCTACTTAGGATCTCCCTAAGGAAGAAGACCAAGGGTGATTCTATGCAAAATAGAACCATCGGGTTAAATCCAAGAGGTTTAGAGACAAGTTTAAAAAATTTAAATAAGTTTTACACAAAATGGCAGTGTGAGCTCAATATTTTCCCATACATAACTGATGAATAAATCACTTGGAAAGATAGCATGGCTAAATTCAGAAAGTCTGTTCTGCCTTATGGACTCAGGGATGTGTGGGCCCAAGTTTACCTTTCTGCTTGTATGAACCTATGCACTGGACATATGCTGCCAGGCACATCGAGAGCACCTGCCTGTGGCAGTGTATTCCGTGTTCGTGCTATGCTTAGTGCCTCAACCAGAGTCACAATGTTCTTGTGATTCATAGTGCATCTGATATTGATCCTAATCCATTTTTTTGGCAGCAAATTTCTGCAGGCAAATAAGGAGAAAGTTATCATTTTTCTTTCCAAAAGGTGTTGAAAGAAGCCTTTTTGATTAACCAAAAGTTGTCTAGCTCCTTGGTCATATTGTCTCTAAAATTTTTTTGACTCTGTGACTGATCTAAGTTCTATGCCATGAAACAATTCTTTTTTATTCCCTTGGTATGTGAATTTAGTATGGACTGTATTTCTACAACTCTTACAGCTTTTGAAAAAGTTAAATTATTATACAGCTTTGAGAATGGGAATGATTCGTTTTATTCGTTTATTACCTGTAGAGGAGTACAAGTTAGTCTTCCAGGGAATGGTTTAAGTATTGAGAGAATCTGCTTTGTTTTAAGTAACTGGACAACAGGAAGGCACCCTGCCTCATGAACCCCTGTACCACTTCCTGTTGAAATCGTATCAAAACTGCAGTGCTTCAGTTTTGCAGAACTAGCAAAGCCAAAAGAGAATTGGGGGCCCTTCGGTTAGAAATGGGTCATCTGCCATGGGAATAGAGGTTGAAAAATACATCATCAAACTTTGGCAGCTGCTCCATACGACCCTTAGGACCAGTCCGAAATGCTAGGGTTTGCTCAGGAATCAGCTCTGAGTGCTTATCAGTGGGTGATGGGTGAATCCAAGCCACGCGACTATCAGAGCCTCTTGCTAGCTTACAACAGGTTGGGTGAAGTTTTCTTCAGAAATGAACTAGGAGTTTTTGGCATCTGCCTTTTTGCCCCTTCCCGAAAGAAATTGGGACAGCCGAGAAAAAGTTACTTAAAATGGTAGTGGGCAGAGAAACTGATGGCAGCCAGCCAGGGAAATTTTCTTTGTAAAGGACATGTGAACTAGAAGCCTGTCGTGGGACAAAAGACGGGAAGGGTTTATTAAAGGAAGAAAAAAAGATGACGACAGCGGTAGTGACTTTGGGAAATGAGGCTTCAGCTGGAGCTAATTATAGCATTGCCTATTTAAGGCATTTTCATGTGACCAAACAAAATCTTTGTCTTAAAACAAATTTAAAACAAAGTTTACAACTCAGGCAGCCAATTAGAGGAAGAATGCAAGCTGGGTTAAATGTAAACAGTTGGCCCTTTAGCTGAGGCTTTTGGGACTATCGTAAGGAGCTGGTGTTTAATGCAGGTGAGGATTCTAGAAGATGGTGTGATTTGCTGATTTAGAGACTTGTCTATGCACCAGCTAGTTTAAGCCCCACAATAACTTTGTGAAATAGGCAAAACAGGGCGTTCACCCCACTTTCCAAAGGAAGGAACAGAGGTTCAAAAAGACTATGAAACAACCTCAAACTCATTTGACCAGTAAGGAATTAGACCAGAGAAAGAACTGGAACCAACTACTATTTGGGCTCCACTCCTCTTTACCTGTCCTGTTGTTTCTAAGGGACATGACAAGCATTTGCACTGCTGCTCGTGGGCTTTTAGGAGAACTAAAGAAAGACCAGGTGAGATCAATTTATAGAACCATGTCTGTTTTTCCCAAAATAGGTTTCAGGATTATCCAGAGATTATCCTGTCAAAGAATGAGAATCCACCATGCCCTAATTTCTCCTTGACCCAAGCCTTGCTCATGAGGCAATCTCTGTTGACTTAAAATAATTGAATGGAAGATCATTAAGGTCAAGTTGGTATTGCTTAATCAGACGGCACTGTTAAACTCTGGACCTTTTAAATGTGTGGCCATTTGGGGGGAAGCTGGACTTAAATAAGATGGTCTACAGAAAAAAGAAGTCGTTTTTTTTCCCATAGAAAAGGGATAGATGTCATTTGATATAATAAAATGACCCCTTAGAAAAAGAAAAATACTATTTGCAGCTTGGATTGAGTTGGTAGAGTAAACTTATTGTGTTATATTGTTGCAATATTGGTCCCTAGTTCCAGGTAATTATCATCAAGATAGGGGATTTTTGCCCTGGCTGGTGTGGCTCAGTGGATTTGAGCGCCAGCCTGGGAACCTGAAGGTCACCAGTTTGATTTCCCAGGGGCACAGGCCTGGGTTGTGGGCCAAATCCTTAGTTGGGGGTGTGCAAGAGGCAACTGATGGGTGTTTCTCTCCCTCCCTTTCCCGCTCTCTGAAAATAAATAAATACAATCTTTTTAAAAATAATAAGATTTTTTAAAGAGAAAGATTAAAAAAATTA